CAGAGTTATAGTTTAATAAATTGTTTACAGCGCTTCATCTCATTATCTCATTTTCCTGTCCATGAGGATATTTAACCTCCGGATATGCTAAATGAGAATCTTGTCTAATAAATATTATTAAAATATGATCTAGTAGCTACATTAGAGAGTATCCTGGTTACTTTTTATAACGTATAAAATAATGCTTTCGTAGTCTGATCGACACACTTCGAAAATTCGATTCTTTTCAGCATCATACTCACACAAACTATGTCATCCGTTGATCAAACTATTCAACAATTAAATATAATCACTACGGTCACGATTTTTATTATTTACCTCGTGAATTTTGTGTCTGGTATCATTGGTCTCACTTTCAATGTGTTCGTATTTACTCGACCATTGTTACGTGAAACACCATGTTCTGTGTATTTCATCGCGGCAACCTTTGTTAACTTTTTTGTCATTTTGTTCATCATTCCCGTACGTCTTCTGACGAACAATTTTAATATAGATTTGACTACTTATAATCCTGTATATTGCAAAATACAAAATTTTGTCTTCTTCACAACACGTGCACTATCCTGCTGGTTAATTACCATGGCATGCATCGATCGCTATTTGCACAGCTCACCTGAAATATCTTCGCGTCGCTGGAGTTCATTAAGAACTGCAAAAATCTCTGTCGCATTAGTCAGCATCATAATTCCTATTTCGTATAGTCATATGTTTATTTTCTACAATCTGATACAGCTCAGAAGATCGACAGGAATTGTGGTATACTCTTGTGCTACACAAGATCCTATCTATTCAACATTTATCAATGTTTGGCATTTGCTTATGTATTCACTCTGTCCATCGTTTCTCATGCTTATTTTTGGTTGTCTCACTTTGAAAAACATCCGCTTTAGAGATCGTGCTATTCCGCAAAATGTTCGTCGTGCTACACGACGAAAACGAACTGACCTTCTACGCATGTTGTTGGCTCAAGTAATCGTCATTATCATTTGCACTGGAGCTTTTTCTGTGTATCAACTGTATGCATTATTCACGAGTGGATTAGCTAAGGATTCGCTTCGAATCAGTCAAGAAAGTGCTGCTAGTAAAATACTCGCTGTACTGTCATATTTCCCACATTCAACTAGCTTCTACATGTTCACGTTAACTGGCAGCATATTTCGAAAAGAGTTTGTGAGAGTTGTGCGACCGTGTTTATTTCGAAAGCGAAATCGTGTACAAATTACCACTGTTCAAATTAATCGTGGTACACCTTGGTAATTAAATATCATTTCAACAATAATACAAACAACGCTCATTCGATGAATTCGCTAATCCTTTTCTGAAAGAATTGTTCGACTGCTTAATATATTCAGATACATTGAAAGACAAATAGGGGCTCTGCCGTTATTACTGGATCTCAACTGGACCACGGCATTGTGTCCCACACGAGAATTAATACAAGAGAAAGATTCTTCTTTTTTCATGAATTGAATCAATTACGCACTTGTCAGAAAATACTTTTTAAGTACTAGCTATGTTTACTAAAAACCTCGCCGCTCAATGATTAGTCATTCGTAGGCTTCCCATCGGATCCGAGTATGGGATTTGTCGACCTGTATCTTTTAGAAAAGGGATCAAATCAACGAAAATATTTTCTCCAAATAGTTAAGTTACATGTAATATGGTTTCTCAATGAATATCCCTTTTTATTTGTACTGGGTTGTTTACGGTGAAAAAGGGGGTGGCAGGTAGACTACGGAAAGATATGTAACCATGAACATTGATAAGACAGCCTCAACCTTGTTTTTGAGCAGGCTTATTATATTATAAATCCTACGTGATGCATGATAATTCACGAGGAAAGATGATATGAACAATCAGCAACACTTAGAGAAGCGCCGATCGTCTACGAGGTTGCTTTTTATTAAGTTATCAGAAAATAATTTTGTCTTCCTTCGTTGTATGTGTATCTGTCCTAAAAAACGAAGTATATTTTACATGTTATTCAATCGTTAATCCAAGCATAAAAGACGCATTATGTTGGACAAATGGATCTGTCAGAAAATACTCAAAACCATATGCTCTGTTTGATCAGCAGGAAGCAGAAATGGGGAACTCCGGCGGTTGTCAACTCCACTCAAACTCGAATATCATCAATTTTCACTCCATATAATAAAATCGATGAAATCGAAGAAATAATGAACGTATTGCGGATGTTTTACGGGTATCCTATACCTTCAGTGCACCTCTCAAAATATGTATAATACTGTTAGAAATCCGGTCGAGCAATTTTTGCTTTTGGTGTACGTATCTCATTTGGATATCAATATTCAACACCAAATGGTAAAATAGTCAAGTCAACAGTTGTTATATCAAACGATAAATAGATTTGCATGATGAACTAATTTGAATACCAATCTCGGCATAAATTCCACTTCTGCACTCTTCTTTGTTTCGGCGCATTTAGTGACTTTTCTCCATAGTTAGGTTATTGTCAGTATTCTCTTACAAGTTGATAACAATCGGGAGGTTAACTGAGGGAAGTCTAAATTTCACCACAATGTTCGAGGTACTGTTATGTAGAAATTTCGTCATTTTCTTAAAAACACTTCTTAAACCGATCGATTCCTTATCAAACTCGCAAATCACTCTCACACCCTCACTCTCAAGATGCATAGTGCATGACTGTTATACTCCTAATCTACATCTTGAGGGCGTGAGAGTGATTTGCGAGTTTGATAAGGAATCGATCGGTTTAAGAAGTGTTTTTAAGGAAATGACGAAAATTCTATATAACAGTACTGTTCCAGGTCGAACGATGCGATCCGTATACGGCCTTTATGATACCGTAAATCTGTGCCCGTGATTAGTAAACAAACGGGTTCATTTTCGGCCGTAAATTCATCGTTTTGTCACGGTTTACATCGCGAAAACGCATTGTAAACGACTCCGTTTTCATTAACCTGTGTTGAACGTGAACGGTTCACATGATCTTCTTTGTAGCTGCTTTTGTCAGATGCATGAATTCATTAGCGTCGCACACACGTAGTTCATTGCGCCTCATCAGCGTGTTCTGGTTACCCCTCCGTTAGATTATTTAATTTAACGATGTGCAAAGATAATTTTTTTTCCAGGAATTAAAATATGTTTAATTGCGATACCAGATGCTTTCATATCATTTTCAATGCTATAGAAAATAGTACGCTTCTAGGCTGATCAATAAAATGATTTCGAAGATGATTCTGATTTGTGTAGTTTGCACATTCTCTTCCTTTCATACTGTCCTATTTAGATTGAATCTAAACGTTTCTTGGTCAAACAAGGACATGTCATCGGTCGATCAAACTATTCAACAATTAAATATAATCACTACGGTCACGATTTCTATTGTTTACCTTGTGAATTTTGTGTTCGGTGCCATTGGTCTTATTTTCAATGTGTTCGTATTTACTCGACCATTGTTACGTGAAACACCATGTTCTGTGTATTTCATCGCGGCAACCTTTGTTAACTTTTTTGTTATTTTATTCATCATTCCCGTACGTCTTCTCGTGAACAATTTTAATATAGATTTGACTACTTATAATCCCGTATATTGCAAAATACAAAATTTCGCCTTCTTCACAACACGTGCACTGTCTTGCTGGTTAATTACCATGGCATGCATCGATCGCTATTTGCACAGCTCACCTGAAATATCTTCGCGTCGCTGGAGTTCATTAAGAACTGCAAAAATCTCTGTCGTATTAGTCAGCATCATAATTCCTATTTCGTATAGTCATATGTTTATTTTCTATAATTTGATACAGCTCAGAAGATCGACAGGAGTTGTGGTATACTCTTGTGCTACACAAGATCCTATCTATTCAACATTTATTAATGTTTGGCATTTGCTCATGTATTCACTCTGTCCATCGTTTCTCATGCTTATTTTTGGTTGTCTCACTTTGAAAAACATCCGCTTCAGAGATCGTGCCATTCCGCAAAATGTCCGTCGTGCTACACGACGAAAACGAACTGACCTTCTACGCATGTTGTTGGCTCAAGTAATCGTCATCATCATTTGCACTGGAGCTTTTTCTGTGTATCAACTGTATGCATTATTCACGAGTGGAGTAGCTAAGGATTCGCTTCGAATCAGTCAAGAAAGTGCTGCTAGTAAAATACTCGCTGTACTGTCATATTTCCCACATTCAACT